TCGTGGTTTACTGGATCCATGGAGCTTAAAAAATGTTGCAACATTTAAGTTTTACAAGAATATCGAACACCACACAAGAAACCTATAGAAAAAATATATGATATAAATTTGCAGAAATATACTCCGATGCTTCAACTTGCAATATTACTTTAAAAATTGGACAAAAATTATATTTGAATGCCCGCTCTATAATTGCGACTAATTTTGTAGTTGATAAGATATTATATAACTGGACGTTGACTTATAGCGGACGACGGCAAACTAATTATTAGAATCGCGAACTAGAAGCTGTGTTTATCTCGCTGTCGATCGGAAACATTTAAAAGATGATGAATTGTTGGATTTCAATTATAAGGTACAAGGGAGACATGTTTGGCGCCGATGTTACACTGCAATTACAAACTTACAAAACTACCCGTTACACTGTCCCCTCTGTCCTGGATGCTGAAATACCTTTTACCCACCAATGTGATCTGATCTCGATTTTTTCATTTTATTCGAGTGCATTTCCGTCGCATGTCTGATTTCTAGCTCCTATTTTACGACTAATTTCATAATTTGGGATACTATGACGACTAGATGCAACCGATTCATTTTCACTGCTTATCAATTGCGTGACAAGGTAAGTTAACGGAATTAGGGGAAAGACATTTCACTGTAAAAATCACGGCCTCGCCACTAAATGTTTGTGGGGTTTGTTTTTCACATTATTTGAAAACTACGACATGAATAAATAACTATACTCAAATAACTAAATAACTAAATAAATAAATAAATAACTAACTAACTAACTAAATAAATAAATAAATAAATAAATAAATAAATAAATAAATAAATAAATAAATAAATAAATAAATAACATGGCGAATTTTAAGTGGCTATTTTGGATCACGAAAATCTGCATGGTATTTTGTCTGTCATAAAGTCGAATTAAGTGATGACGTTTTAGTTGAATAGTGTATATTCTGGGGGTAAATCTATTTTTAAGACGTTCAAAATATCATCATAATCATCCCAGGATGATGGACAGGGGCGGATGTCACGTGAAAAAGTAGAAAATTACGGTAAATTGAAACGATAACTACGCATCCCAGTTTCGTGGACATTTCCGCAGGAAATGTCAATTATCAGGGATTTTACGAAGGGTTGAGAAAACAAATTACGGTTATCATTATTCCCGATAACAAAAAAAACTTCTCTATAATCTAGATGAAACGGGGAAATAGGACATAATCACTTTCATGGGATGGGTTCGTATTTGTGTTCCGTAATAGGAATAGTTGTAGCGAGCGCTGAGTGGCAACGACACACTGACGAAGTAGATGGTGTGTCAAAATTCAGAACGCCTCGAGCCCATTCAACGCTGTTATTATTCTTAATGGGACATTGTTAAACAAAGTAAATAATGTGTAATGCTCAACCGCAGAGAAAGGCGAGAGCTTCGTTTACGTAGAACGGCGATGTCAGACGCTGTCGTAATTCATGAGACACGTGCTATCGCTCAATTTACCCTGCCGTCATTATACGAGTCAGGTTTAGGCAAACTTGGAGTCTAATGATATCGCCGGTAGTGGCTTCATCGGCTTTTGGAATATTAACTGATTAAGCGCAATTTACCGTGACAATTATCTTGGTTGCGAATTCTCTCAGTTTGTGACATGTCGGTAAATTTTGGGGAGATTATTCAAGCCTGATTCGGTGTATTGAAAGTGCCCTGCCCTCGAAATGAAAGGTTTTCACAATTGCTCAGTTTATTTGTTAAGGTTGGTTGAAACACACGTATACCTCCATGGCTGGAGCAATTATAAATTTGATATCATTGGTTTGATTATGGAGGTAAAAAGACTCCATGGTTTGATCATGATCATCTCCCAAGATTTTTTTTTATTAGGTAGATTCGAAAATACGATATTTTAATTATTGCTTTAACAGTTTTGTTCTGTTGAACGTGTAACAATTATAGTTTTATCAGAAAACCAACCAATTCTTGCACAATATTTAAATAAGCGAAGTGCACATTCTGCCAATAACTCGGTAAACACGACAAATACACAAGAGGAATTTCCCCACAACAAACTTAGCGACAAATAATTTTATAGCCACAAGCTTTTTTAAAACTGAAATATGTTATTCCAAGTTCCAAGTGGCTACATTACATTCCAATTTGGAACCTGGCATATAAATATACCATAAAAAAGTCAACAATTCGTTTCTATCGCAACGTCATTTATGAAACATATTCATCAAATTAAGATACATTCGCGAAATTGTCATATTTTTGTTTCCTTTCCTGGCAACACTTACTTGTATAATACTTGACATTAATACTAATAACACGCGAAACAAACACGTATATAAACCAATGTTTAAAAAAATCTAAATATCACTCACCGTTTTTAATAGAGAAAACGTGGTTTTCAAATTCCTGTCTCGGACTGTACGGCGATGGACTTGGCTTTTTTTCGTCTAAATTGTCCAAAATATCACGGATCAGAAAGGATGGCTTCCTGGAATTCGACGGTGCCATCATGGTTGCGTGTCCTAGGTACAAATCCAATCGCTGATAGTCGACGGAAACGTTCAGATTCAGACTTATTTTGCTTCTAGGGAAACAATTATTACCATAAGATAAACGACGTTTGAATTAACGTTGGTCTTTTTCTTCTTGATTCCCGTAACGTCGCAATAACGTGGATCGGTGAATCACACACCGCTGTTAAAGCTAGAAGTGAAAGAAAGTTAATGTTGGACGTCAGTGTTGAGACATTTTTATCGCTTGGGATGGTTTTCTGAATAACTGGCGGAGCCATCCACGCATGCATTTGAGTTGTCGTCGTGAGTAGCTGCGCGTGCTCGTCCAATGATCGGTTAATTGGGAACACAACGCCTCCCCTGGATCCCCTCTCCTGATTGGTCGACGCAACCATTTAGGGAAGATTTAGGCATATGCGACGGGTTAAAAAATAAAACGAGTTTATAACGACAACAATGCCGCAGGCTTGGAAATCGCCAACTGGTGGAAAAGAAAAAAAAACCTTCTCAAACTAATGTCTATAATTTGTATGCAAACGAATCAAATAAACAGAGCATTTGGAAACAATTACAGCGAATGCGTGGAGGCGAATGGAATCGGTAGATGTAGATTGCAATTAATTTAGCCAGTTGAAAGGAAATGAAATGAAATTCGCTAACATGTTGACTTTAAAATTATCCGTACCGCTTATACTTATAAGTAGCCAGCATATTTTTCGACAAATTTTATTTGGTTGATTCATGTTTGCATCGTACGTTATCAGCACTGGAAACATATTTATTCTTAAAATCTCAGTCAATTCTCATGGAGGGTGGGGTAGCATTTTTTTATAATAATTTTATATTTAATTTAGGCGAACATTATCAAAGTCACGGCAAATATAAATTTGATACGAACAATTCGCAACAAATAAGAGACCCAGAAGTGAATCATGGCTGTGAATAACTAACCTGAAAGCTCATCGTTTGGTGGGAATTAACCCAGCCGCCCGGCACGATGTGAACTGACCCAGAACTCCGGGGTGACAGACGTCCGGTCTGGTGGGAGTCAGCCCAGAAACAAGGTTTGGCGGGAATTAACTCGAAATCAGCAATAAATCCAGAAGCCAGGTTTGGTAGGAATAAACCCAGAAGCTCGGTTGACGGGAATTA